ATTCAGATGAATTCCATTGAATTTGATTATGGATGAAAATCATGTGCATTTCCAATGGCAACTACATGAAAACTATTTTCGGTGTAACGTTTCCTCTCATAATCGCCTAGCGCACTCTACGTTGGTGGTGCATAGATACAGCCTATAGAAACTAAGCGATTATTCCAGCCTCTGGCGGTGAATAGTGGAACCCTCAAAAGAGTGATGAGGGTGGAAATTTTCACCGTGAAGCATAGGAAGAGGAAAATATTTTCACCTCTCCTGTTTAATTTATCCACCCCAGGTGCTTGAAATCATCATCCACGTGGAATATTTTGTTTTTTGTATCGGGTTTGCAGTGATCCGGCTGGTGCTTCCATATATTTTTGATGAGAAAAATTAAGATTTATAAAATTACCCCATCGGTTATGATCTTCCGAATTTTTAAATATGTGGTTATTTCAGCTCTAAATCAGTTCAGATCTGTGATAATCGGAAAATAAAACCACTCCCGATGGAAATTTGCAAGATGTGCAATAAAATATGCATTATTTTGAGTTTTGAAAATCGTCATTGTGATGTAAACAAATTAATTGGATGACATTTACTCTCAAAATCGGCTAGGGCACTCTACATTGATGGTGCATGAAAAGAGCCTATAGAATCTAAGCGATCGTTTCACCCTCTGTTGGTGAATAGGAGAACCCTCAAAAGGGCGATGAGAGCGGACATTTTCGCCGCGGAAGCATACGCATTTTTAAAAGAAACTAAGCGATCGATTTAACCTCTGGTGATGAATAGGAGAACGTCAAAAAGAGTGTTGTGAGCGGAAATTTCTGCCGTGAGACATAGGAAGCGGAACACTTTTTAACTTTTCCTGATAAATTGATTCATCAGAGATCCACCGACAAACCGACATGATACTTAAACTTAATTCTTGATCGAGAATCCATAACGGCCAATTCAAATGTACAGCGATCCCATCTGTCAAAACCATAGAAATTTTTTATCTAGATAAAAATAATTTATCCGAAATAGATTAGACTCGAACCAACTCATAAATTTTGTACGCGTGTTCAAGAGATCCTCCAAAACTTGATCTATAGTTGAAAAAATTAATTCTGTATCGGTTTTGCAAGGATCCTGCTGGTGTTCAAGAATATTTTTGTTGATAAAAATGGAAAATTAGAATAGTGCCTTAGTGGTTATGATCTTCCGGATTTCTTGTGTGTACATAGTTTGAGTGCAAATAAGAAAATCGTGGAAAGGGAATTGGCAAGATGTTGAATGAAAAATGCTTTAATTTGCGTTGTGAAACCTTCAAATTCTGATGTAAACAAACGGTTTGGTTGACGTTTCCTCTCGAACTCGCGGAGCGCACTCTACGTTGGTGGTGCAAACTATCCCAGCGGTGTTACGATCTTCCGGGTTTTTAATGTGTGGCTATTTGAGCTGTAAATCCGTTTAGATCTGTGTAATATAGTAAAATAAGACCACTCCCGATGGAAATTTGCAAGATATGCATAAACATATGCGTTAATTTGAGATATACAATTGTAATTTTGATGTAAACAAACGGTTTGGTTGACGTTTGCTCTCATAATCGCCTAGCGCACTCTACACTGAAAGATAAATTAAATCAAAAAAGCTTAAAAAGTATGCAGATTCCCGCTTCACCTTATTGAGTCCGAGCCATGATTACTTCGGGGCAGTAGTCATGCATGATTAAAATCGAAATAATCTTTCCATTATTAAATTTTATTCTATTTCAATACTGATAATAAAAAAAGATAAAAAAATCAATCAAAAATTATTAAAATAGAATCAAAAATTATTTAAATTTATTCAAAAAAGATCATCATCAATCTAATCAACCATGATTAAACTGGGATTAATATCGGATGCTTATATTTTAGCAAGAGAGTATTAATTTTTATTCATTCGATATGATTAATCTGAGTTTAATGTCAAATTGATTACATTTCAAGCAAAATAGGAATAGTTTAATTTATCAGTGTACATTGGTGATGCATCGAAACACTTACACACCTACACGCTTATTCTGGTCAACTCAAAATTGAGTCGAATGTACTCATCTCAGCGGCAAGTATGGCTACTCAAATGTCACTTTTGAGTAAACGACGTTCTCACGTAGACTGAGTCAAATCCACTCGGCGGTATTTTCAGTTGCGGGGAGGGTTTTTGTTTTGATTTTTATTCAAGGAAATGGAAATTGCCTGCTCCGGATTCATTCTACTGGAGCAGAAAATGGTTCAACACCGTTTCCCTAAGCAATTCGTACTTACCTGAAGGCATTTCAGCCGTTTTTGAGTAACATTTCCCATGAGGTTTCCTCCTACATGACTGGCATTTTTTCGAAGTCCAGAATTTTGCTGACTGAGTGGCTTTTACTCAGTTTGACATTTCTCGTTTACTCAATTTTTGACAACTCGATACATCGGACGAAAGTGAGTACGATCGACTCACCTGGTGAGTAAGCAGAAGTTAGCGTGTATATGCGGAGTGCTACACTCAAAAAATATTGAAAGCTAAATAGTATAAAAGTTACGCTAAATCGCAACTCTCCGTGCCGACGCAAAGGTCGGTATAAAGGGAGAGAATACAGACTTAGTATAAAAATGATTTATGTCTGCCATAGTATAAAATCGAAATATGCTTGCAATGGTTTATTCAAGGGAATGTATGTTCTGCTTCTTTTTCGTTTAATGCTTAATATTATTGTTTTCAAATAAAAATTAAATTTGTAATTAAAGCAAAAGCAGTACCCTAAAATTATCATTATCGAAACCCAGGTTTATCATTACCCAACGTTTTGATCTTTGATAAGTGGCTAAAACTTGGGTCCACCCGGAATGGTCGTCATTTTCAACGCTGTGACCGTTGAGTCGAACAGATAGAAGAAATTACTGTGCATCAAATCCGTCAGCAGTTTATTGGCTAATCGATACAGGCTTCGATTCCATTTCCGGCAGGCTTATATGCTTCTTTCCATCAATGAGCGGACGATGTTTGCAGAACCATTCGAGAACGTTACCACCTTCAAGGTGAACTGAAAAACGACTACGAGTGCCATCGTGTTTGACATTGTCATTTAAGATCATTTTAGTGTACACTGATCGAATTTAACTCCGATAATCGGACTTAGTAAAGTTTTGAAGAAAATATTAATCGGACCAAGGTATAAATTTTGATTAATAATAAAATGCATAAAAATTAATCAATATTGGTTTTGTAATACTTTTGAGTGTACGTTTGCTTGTCTGTGGTTCTTGTTCAATTAAACAGTCTGAGCTGCTCATAACATAACTATATGGAAAGTTTCTATATGATCTATAAGAATTAAATTTATGTTACTTATCTACGCATAGAGAGGTGCGTCTCTCAGTCTGCGTAGTTTGTAGATTAACGCGCAGCTATGCCTGAATCATAAACTAATTCAAACTGTTTAGTATTGAAGCGAATGGTTTCATCCTGTTTCTATAAATGAATCTTTCGTTTGAGAAAACACAAAAAAGTTCTATTTTCCAAGTCTTCAGCATTATTTAGAAAACTGAATAATTAGAGAGTTTTTGCTCGTTTCCAAAAAAAAAAATACAATTGATTGACTTGCGTGGTTTCGCAAAAAAATTTAATGAAATGTATGAGAAGTGCAAAGCATCGTCTTTAAGCGGGACAAAGTACCGAGATAATGAGTTCTATAATTTAAGTGTCTGCGCCAGAGTTCCGGCGGGTTTTTATTAATCAAACTCGTTAACGTAAAAATTTGCGTATAAATTAAGTGGAGATGTTTGTGCGTGCTGTGAAGTTGTATGATAACGTGTGACCTGTTTTTTGAATGTGCGCCATCGGACGAGAAGCGTGAGTGTTTGACTCGGGATGCAAGGAAGAGTGCTCCTACGCTGGCTTTAATTGACACACTGGCATTCCAATCTGCCACTCACCATCGTGTAGGCCTTTGATGGTAGAATCAGCAGACTGCAAATCCAGTGAACAGGAAAGCCAGCGTCGATTTGTTTCATTTAGAAGCTAAGAAAAGAGTTAGAAATGATCATATTGTGCCAGGCTGACGACGACGCAACTAAGAATGTAAAATATTTTCAACTGATTAGCGTACGGTCAAATTGGAATAAATTATGCCTAGTGTTATTGCAAATAAAAGAAAGCTGAAAATCATTTGAAAATGTTTGAATAAGCATAAATAATGTAAGATCATTATCTAACCTCTAGAGAAGATATAGTTTCCTAAAGTTTCGTAGCATTCACAACAAATAATCGTTTTATAAGGTTTCATATTTACCATTGTTAAGCACTGTGTACCACAAGACATTAATCTCATAGTAGTATTACCATCGAACAAACAAGAAAACGAGAAAAAAAAATAACATAAAACAGAAGAAAATCGACAAACATGTTCTGTACAACGAAAAAAAAAAATGGTAAAATAAACGTTGGAGGAAAATTTAAACCTGTTATCTTTTCATTTACGTACCTATTAGTGGTTAAGATAGACGGGTTACTTGTCCGCTTCGATTTAGTGCATGTCCTCCCAATGAAATTGACCTCTCCGAATGCCGGGCAAAACAAAAAAAAAATCTCATATATCACAACGGGTTGTGATTCGTGGAAGAAAAGAAAAAAAAGAAAGATCGAACTACCCAGCTGAATCTGACGTGTTTTAATCAAAGCTATTTTTCCTTTTTCTTTCTTTTTCTTTCCCCTACAGGTTGGGTTATTTTAGTAAGTTTTTTCCCGAGCTCACAATCTTTGTAATATTGTTCGTTGTTTTTGAGCAAAATGTTTCAATTTGCCCTTTTCGATAGAAATATTTGTACACGTATTTTACATTTTTCGGAATTGCTTTCAATATTGTATTTATAGAGAACCGTACCAAAAGGGAAACTGTGAACCAGCCGTACTGAAAACTGCCCAAAACGTTATTAACCAATTTTGTTTCTTTCTCTTCTTCTCGCTTGTTCCAACCCAATAATGCTCCCCACTAGTGCATCATGGGCCATCTGATGTGTGCCGGATGCCTGACCCATTTGCTGGCGGATGGCAGGTAAGTATCCGCACCAACGATCTCCGTAAGATGGATGACCTCTGGCCTACCTCTACCGCCAAATCGATTGTCTTTGATTATCGCCGTTTTCTTCTTTTCCCTCTCAAAACATTGAAATAGACTTCGTGATCAGAACGCGACTTGCCCGAACTGTCGCACCGACATCAGCAAGAACACCCCATCCCGGAACCTGGCCGTCGAGAAGGCCGTCTCCGAGCTGCCCAGTGAGTGTCAGTACTGTGGCAATGAGTTCCCAAACAAGTCGGTTGAGTACCATGAGAACAATGAGTGCGAAGAGCGACCGACGGCGTGCAAGTTTGCCCGTATCGGATGTCAATGGCGTGGACCGATGCACGAGGCCCCCTCGCACGAAACCAACTGTACCCACCCGAAGAAGTCGGGAGCCGAGGTTATGGTTGCCCTGCAGTCTCACGATGTCCGTGCGGCCGAAGAGAAGAAGCTGTTCCTTACGTTGATTGATCTCTTGAGTTACGAGAAAATTATCTTCAATGGTAGCGTTTTGTTCGCTGGTTGTGAACTTATGATTTGAACTAACAATTTTTTTTCTGTGATTTTGGTTTCTTGGTGTTTCGTATTGGACTTGTCGTTGCAGACCTCCAGATGAAGCCATACCGGACCGATGAATACGTCCATTGTCTGTACTATGAAACGTCGCGTTTCTCCGCGTTCAACCACCAGTGGGTAGTGAAGTCTATCATCAACAAGAGCCAGCGTGATCCGCACCAGTCGTGCGAACGGGACATCACCTATCAGGTTAGCATCAGAATGTTCTTCCGGAGGGTTGCCAATGAAATGAACGTGTTTCAATTATTTTTAGTTGGTTCTGAAGTCGAAAACCACCAGCCCGTTGACGATGCACTTCTTCGTGCTGCGGGGACCATTCTCTGATATCAAGGCGAACACCCAGATCTACAAGCATGACTTTACCGAAACCGAAACGGAAAGCCCGTTCAAACTGATGCCACTGCCGGATACGGCCGAGTGCAACCGATTGCTGGCGGCGAAGTGGATCAATTTCAGGTATGGTGAATGCACATTGGACTGGGTGAACTCAACAACACCCGGCTCCCCACTGTTGTTTTGATTTGTATTGAGGTATTCAACAAATGTACCATATGTTGGCCTATGGATCTAAGATTTGGCCCATCGCTAAAACTCTGCTATTTATCAATTTTATCTAGATGAACGCGTCATTGGGACGGTACTAATGGCTATTTTTGGTCGCTATTGAAAATTTAGTCGATTGCTGGATTTATTTATTGGCCCAAATTAGGGGCATTTCCCCTATCTAAGAGTGTTTACATTTTTCCTGCCTTGGCAATTCAGTATTTCAAACAGGTTTTCTAAACCTGCATGTCAGTATAAGATTGAAGATTGCAACGATTTTTACCTGTAATTATTAATTATTTTGTTGGACATTTCTAGACTAACATTTGAAAAGGGCGGAACTCCAAAATTACCATATCGAGAAAATCGCTTCCGAATTTTGATGATCTAAAAATTAATCCTATTTCACGACTTTCCATTTTCTGGATGATTGTATAAGCTTGACATATAGTTAATAGTGTAATCTATCATCATGCATCACTAAAAACTAAAAAAAAAGTTTTCTTTGTCGTTAAATTGAGAAGAAAACATCATACGCCCTGATAATTTCTTACATGTTGTTACCCCCCGGATCTTCCATACTTTGAACTGCCAACACTGGTGATACGCCGTGGAAGTACACCCTCGGGATTTTTTGTTTGTTGTTCCGCATTCGTTCTTCGTTCGCAAACTTTGTGAGATATCAATCAGATGCGTTTAAAATTAATCGGGCGTGACTAGCTACTACAGAATCAATACGTTTGGCATATTAAAACAATATAATTCGTTGCGCTGGTGCAAGGCGTAACAACCAGTTGCATCATCGAGTTGAAAGTTGGAAATACGCCATGTAAGAAGAAACGTTTTTGATGATTTGAAGTGATATTTTCTTCTACTGCTTCGTGTTTATCGAGTAGTTTGTGAACTGTTCTCTCTATATGTGCCAAAATATGGTTTGTTTACATTTAGGCTCTTCCGTCCCTTTCAAATATTAGTCTAGATTTGTTCTAAAGTCTCAACATTCGATATTCTATGTACCTCATCGGTACTGTACTGTACCAGGCAGCCAAGCTTCAAAATCATCTTCAGAACTTTGTTCTGAATCCTTTGGAGTGCTTTTTTCCTGGTAGTGCAACAACTAGACCATATTGTCACAGCATAAAGCATGGCCGGCCTAAACAATTGTTTAAATATTAGAAATTTATTCTTCAGGCAAAGTTTGGATTTTCTGTTTATAAGAGGATACAAACATTTTATATATTTCTTTTTACATTTGGCTTGAATGCCCTCAATTTGATCTTTAAAAGTTGATTTTTGGTCAAGTACTAATCCAATTCAAATTGGATCTTCGTTCATAGTGACTATGTGACTACTACCAACCGATGGAAACTAACGATTTTTTATTGACTCACTACTTGACTAGCCTATTGGTCCCACGCAAATCGATTAACGTACCCCATTCTAGTCGAATTTCTAGTACTACACTATGTTTGTTTTGATTCGCTATAAAAGTTTGACAGATAAAATGAGAGGTTCGTGGATTTTCCCATGTTTCGAGGGGTGCATCGATTAGCTTGGGACCGAAGATAGTACCAGAGCTGAGCCAAAAAGTTGAGCATGTTTCTTAGGGACCTTCTGGTCTTAGAGTTACCTCTATGCTACTACTAGGTTTAAAAAAATAAGCTCTAGGTTTATGTGAAAATATTGTAAGTTGAGTTGGGAGAAATATTCCATTTTTGTTATCTAAACTTTTCTGCAGTCTGCTGCAAATAACACGAAGACTTCTTCCTTTAGCGGAAATGCCTGTGTCATCGGCGAACAAAGATCTGTGGTAACCCTGAGGCAAATCAGGGTGGTCGGAAGTGAAAATATTATACAATATAGGCATAAGAATGCTATCCTGAGAACCGAAGTCAGCATGGGTAACCAATTGGCTACAGAGTTGACATGAATCAGTTAAGACCAAATCAATAGTGGAGGGATTTCTTGCAGAAGAAAAGCATGTTGGGCTGTTTGGATATTGAATAGTGTAATAACCTGCAGAGCAATCATCAAACAGAATATTACCATTGGAATTGCTTTGAGCATTATTCCATGAGCGGTGTTTTGCATTAAAATCACGAATACCTAATGAAGAATTTAGACCTATGATGGGTAAGTTTCTGAAGGTCACTCTTGAGAAACTTCTTTTGCTGGCCTACTCATTGGAATGGCAAATAGGCAGCTATAAACGTAAGTTGTCCAAATTTTGTTTCTACAGAAACTCCAAAAGTTTTAAAAACTTTGGTTTCAAATGAAGAAGGAATTTGATGTTTGATACGTCTATGAACAATGATGGCAACGTCACCTCCGGCTCCATCAAGACGGTCATTTCGATAAATGAAATACAGTCAAGATTCCTATAGTACGGTTAATAGGGACCGCACTATAGAAACCGGTATTAACGAATACACGTAGAGCTAATTGGGAACAAACGCTTATTGTAGGGTAATTTGAAGAGATAACTTCATGATGTCTTCTGAACAGTTATTAAACAGAAAATTTGCCACCTTTTGGGAACATTTAGCATCTGGAAAGTCACGAGTCTGATCCTCCAGGAGGACCCGGAAAATCCGTAAAAGTGGTCAATTCATGAAACTAATCCTAGAGCTCCGCGGTTTTTTCGAAACCGCTCATAGACGACTTATCAGAATTTGATGCTCATAGATGTCTTATGATAATTTGAAGTTGTGACCTGAATATGGACCCAGAGGACCACGGGACGGTCACCCGGAAGATCCGGAACATCCGTAAAAGTGGTCAATTCATGAATCTGAGCCTAGAGCTCAGCAGATTTTTCGAAATCACTCCTAGAATGAATTCGGAGTTGAGACTGGAATATGGACACTGGAGATCACGGGATGGTCGACCGGAAGATCCGGAACATCCGTAAAAGTGCGGTCCCTATTAACCATACTATAGGAACCGGTATTAACGAATACACGTACCATATGGAATTAAAGCTAATTGGGGACAAAATCTTATTGTAGGGTAATTTGAAGATATAACTTCCTGGTGTCTTCTGAAAAGTTATTAACAAGATACATGACCACCTTTTGTGAAAACTTTGCATCCGGAAAGTCACAAGTTTGGTCTCCAGGAAGACCCGGATCATCCGTAAAAGTGGTCATTTCATGGAACTTATCCTAGAGCTCTTATTAGAATAAATTCGGAGTTGTGACTGAAATATTACCCTGGGGATCACGTAATGGTCCTCTGGAAAATCCGAAACATCCGTAGAAGTGGTCAATTCACGAAACTGATCCTATCGCTCAGTGTTTTTTTTTTTCGAAACCACTCATAAACGTCTTATCATAATGAATTCGGAGTTGTGACCGAAATCTGAAACCTGGGGACCACGGTATGGTGGACCAATTTTGCATCCGAAAATCAACAAGTCTGGTCCATCGGAAGAGCCGGAACATCCGTAATGTGGCAAATCAATTAAACTTATCTTAGAGCTCCGTGTTGGTTTCGGATCTTCCGGACCTTTTTGTGAACCATCCCGTGATCCACAGCATCAATTTTCTCGTCACAACTCCTAATTCATATTGATCAGACCTCTATGAGTGGTTTCGAAAAAAAAACATGGAGCTCTAGGATCAATTTCAATAATGGCCCAGTTTTGCGGATGTTCTGGATCTTTTAGTGAACCATCTCGTAGTCCCGAGAGTCCATATTCCAGTCAAAACTCTGAATTCATTCTGATAATACGCTTATGCGTGGTATCGACAAAACAGTGGAATTTTAGAATCGGTTTCATGAATTGGCAACTTTTACGGATGTTCCGGATCTTTTAGTGAACCTTCCAGTTGTCCCTAGCGTCCATTTTCTGGTCACAAATCTTAATGCATTGTGATAAAACATGTATGAGTGGTTTCGAAAAAAAAACCGCGGGGCTCTAGAATCTGTTTCGTGAATTGACCAGTTTTACGAATGTTCCGGCTCTTCCGGAGGACCATCGCATACACAGCAAAAAATTCTGAATTTTACATTCATACACGTAAACTTGTGTTTCATTAAACGCAAACGAGTAACTTGTATACAATGTTGTTTACAAAGATGGGTTTTTTATACAATATGTGCAACAGTTCATGAAATGTCTCTGAACTTTACACGATTTATAACGTAAATTTATATGATATATGACACTCCATTTATGTGCATCACATTGAACAGAAATTTACACTACTTTTTCGAACTGTGTAGCCCCCAGGGTCCATTTTCTGGTCACAACTCTGAATTCATTCTGACAAGACGCCTATGAGTGGTTTCGACAAAACCGCGGAATTCTAGGATCGGTTTCATGAATTGACCACTTTTATGGATGTTCCGGATCTTCCGGTGGGCCATCCCGTATTCTCCATAGTCCATATTCTAGCCACAACTCCAAATTCATTCTGATAAGACGTCTTTGAGTGGTTTAGAAAAAAAAACCGCTGAGCTTTAGGATCAGTTTCATAAAATCTTCGCGGATGTTCCGGATCTTCCACAGGACCAACCTTGTGACTCACCAGGAACTGACTATTCCCAAAAGGTGACCAACTATCTGCTTAACAACTTCTCCAAAGACATCAGGAAGATTAGCTCTAATCCCATATGCTACGTGTATTCGTTAATGCCGGATCGACCGTACTATAGGAATCCACTGGAAACCGTACTATAGGAATCTTGACTGTACTTTCATATCCTCATCGATCGTATAAAATGACCACTGTTATTTGAAACTTACCATCTTCAACTATGCCATTTTGAATTTTTTTTTATATAGGGGAAATTGATGTGATGTCGGCCTATATGCCCCTAATCTGGGCCCATACATAAATCCAGCAATCGACTAAATTTTCAATAGCGACCAAAAATATCCATAAGGTACCGTCCCAATGACGCGTTCATCTAGATAAAATTGATAAATAGCAGAGTTTTAGCGATGGTACATTTGTTGAATACCTCAATACAAATCAAAACAACAGTGGGGAGCCGGGTGTTGTTGAGTTCACCCACTTTTTAGTGACTTGTTCACTATTTTCAAGGCAGTCACTAAAAAGTCACTATTTTCATCAAAAAGTCACTAAAGACAGTATTCCTTAAAATTTAGTCACTAAAGTCACTTTTTTACGACCAATGTTGAGAGTAAAGAATTTGACTTTAACAGCTCAGAGTAAAGTCTGACAAGAAGAGTTGCGAATATATGGAAACGTTAACTGTTGACGGAATCTAATATTTTGATTTTTTTTTTATCTTGGAATTGGGTTCTAGAATTTTGAAAAATATATCGGTTTTTATAGGGGAATTTACGTATTCTCGGCAACCTAAGCAGCGACCTTCTTTCTATAGCCTTTTTCTCTAAGGAACGCACACATATGCAGTATTGGTTTGTTTACAATCTTTTGCTGCCAGCTGCTCTAACAATTTCAGTCGAAAGAATTGTCAAAAACTGTTTTGAAACGCTTTTACAAAGATCCAATCTTCTCTAGTGAGAGCGAGTATTGTCGGCAACCAGTTTTTCTTCGGCAACCGTTCCATTTGAGCTGCATCTAAATCTGCTGTTCTATTATCGGCAACTCGCAATCAGCTACAATTTGTAGTGCGTGTGTTTCATTTCAAGAAAACCTTGCTAGATTGCTTTTTCTCAGTGGTAAAAGTATAGTCAAATTGAAGCTGAAAGCATAAAGAATCGTTTGCATGCATTCAGCGAAGTGTTTTCGTAAGAAAATCCAGTGAAAATAGTGTTTCAATTTGGGTTGCCGAAAATAGTCTGGCATGCCGAAGCCGTCATTTCCCCTATATCATCTGAAAGAGCTTCGTTTTCTGAGCACAGCGATATTTTTTTCGAACCCACACACTTTCATCTCGATTTTTAAATCAAGATCTAAAGCAAAATAATAACTTCACTGTTTGACACTAAACTGACAAACTGACAGCTCGCTGCCATACACAAAGTGACACCGAGGGGCGGTAATAAGGTGATTTTTGCAAATGTAATCGTACTTATTTAAAATAGTTCCAGTGTACCAAAATTGATGAAATTTTGGGTTTGGGTTCCATTTTTAATGCAGATTACGAATATGCATTTACCTCAATACCCTTAAAGAACCCAACCATAGACCTATCATAAATTTTCAGAGATTTGGAAAAAAGTTCTAGACCCAATATTCTGCCTATTTTACATTGAGACCTTGAAAGTTGTCCAAGCCTACACTGCAAAAAAAAGTTACTTAAAATTCACCTGAAAAGTACGTAGATATTTTCCATCACACTTTTCAGGTGAATAATACGTAGTTTGGGGGAGAGAAAACATTTGATTTTCACGTAAATTTTATCGGACTTTTCGATGATCTTCAAATTGGCATAAATTAAAAGCTACGAAAATTAGCAAGTAAATGGTACTGGATTTTGTAGTAATGATAAAGTGAATTAGTGATAGACTATAGATATATATTTCGATTTATTTGAGTAATCAAATGATTGCATTCTAGGAAAAAAACACTAATTTACATTATTTAATAATTGGCACTGATGATCTCGAAGTTGAAGTACATTAACTGTATAGTAGCACCCTTATAGTTCGTCAATTGTTGATTGTTAGCACCTCGAACAATCCATTCCCGTATTCTGCAATTTCATTTTTAATTTATAAATGAGTATTAATTTGTAAAAATTATAGAACATACGCTTGAAAACATGAAGAAGCCTGGTAATTCCAACTCGTTCAACAACGACGAAAGAGCACCTGCTTCTATCGCCATTTTTGAATTACGAATACGACAAGAAATTGTCATTAAATCACGAAAAACTTACTTGATTTTCACTTAACCTTTACCAGCATGACATGATTGAATCCAATGGAATTCATTACCATGTCATTGCATTTTATGTGCGGCACGTGAACCTTATTGAGTTCCTATTTTGAAGAGGTTACCTGAATTTTCAGGTAAAAATTACCTTTACCATTGGTTCAATGTATAATGTCAAAAAATGGTCTAGGAAAATTTTCAAGCTCTCGACATTTGTTAAAAAGCCATACATTTCAAAATTCTTTGACCCCCGGTAGCTTTAGTATTTGTCCATACATCGAGAAAAAAAATCATGTCACAGATTCTTCAGTTCCTTTTTAAGTCCATTAAATTGTATTGTATTTTTTTTTCCATACTAATATTCCAGTAATACAAAAACAAAAATTCCAGGTCAGGGTCTTAGAAAAAAAAATAAAAAAAAAACTCTAAAATGTATTCCTAAATCTCTAATTTTTCACGATCGAGATTTTAAGTCCTAAGCGCATTCAATTTTGTTTTATGTCCATGATCATTCCAGCTGGGAAAATTTTCCTTGTGCCATTATAATGAAATTTTACCTTAAACTGCGATCTAGAAAAGTTGTCTAGATCCCAGAGTTATGATTCTTTTTCTATGTTTGAGGTGTTACAGAAGATTCTATTCTTGGGAGGAATGGAGCAAAGTAAAAAGACGACCATATCTTTCCGATCAATAAATGTCACTATTGGTATTACATCTCATAAAGGGTGTCCACGATGAAATTGCCACACTATGAAATTGCTCTAACTTTTTAACCGTTGGGTAGAATTTAATGAAAATTTGGGTGGATTTAGTTCATAGTGCATTATTTACATCCTGCAAGTTTTAAAGTCTTGTGATCAAAACTCGCGGAAATGGAGTCAAAAGAACAGCTCGTGCGTGATAAAATCTTGCGCATTTATCACGAGAACAAGGATCTCTCGCATCGTTCCATCGCTAAAACGTTGGGAATCGCGAATTCCACGGTGTCGCGAGTGATTAAGCGGTTCGAAGAACGGTTGACCACCGATCGGAAGCCCAGAAGTGAAGGAAAAAGTATTCCGTACAACACCAAAAATCACAACCGCGTAGTTGGGGCCTTCAACCGAAATCCGAACGCCTCCGTTAGGGATGTGGCTAAGAAGCTGCACCTAAGCCGAATTTTTGTCCAGAAGGCCAAAACTAAGGCTGGGCTTCGAACGTTCAAGGTACAAAAGGCCCCTAATCGCGACGAGAAGCAGAACAAGTCCGCCAAAACCCGTGCCAGGAAGTTGTACCTCAACATGCTGACGAAAGTTGAATGCTGCATCATGGACGACGAAACATATGTGAAGGACGACTTCAAACAGATCCCCGGCAACCTGTTTTTCACGGCCAAGGATAAGTTCAGCGTTCCGGAGCATGTCCGCACTCAGAAGATGTCCAAATTTGCGAAGAAATTCCTGGTTTGGCAAGCCATCTGCACGTGCGGGAAGCGGAGTGCACCTTTCGTGACCCAGGACACGATGAACGGACAGGTGTACATAAAAGAGTGCCTCCAGAAGCGGCTGCTTCCTCTCCTGAAGGCCCACAACGTCTTCTGGCCGGATTTGGCCTCATGCCACTACTCCAAGGACGTGCTGAAGTGGTATGCGGACAATAAGGTCAATTTCGTGCCGAAAATGTTCAACCCTCCCAACACTCCGGAGCTCCGCCCCATCGAGAAGTACTGGGCGATTATGAAGCAGCACTTTCTTAAACGACCTAAGGTAGTGAAGACAGTCGAGGAACTGAAGAAAGTATGGGTTTACATGCAAAAAACGGTTGATTCACAGGTTGTGCAGAATCTTATGGCCGGGGTTAAGGCCAAGGTGCGGGCATTTGCGTATGGACTGTAAATAAAATACGAGTAAAATGGTAAAATGAAGTTTAATAGTTATTTCTCAATCCCTGAAAATTTGATGGCAATCGGATGAAAACTCGAATTTTGCGAATCAATTTTGTGTGTGGCAATTTCATCGTGGACACCCTTTACCCACTACCAGCCCTGCCATTAGTACCGTCCCAATGAGGCGTTCATCTAGATAAAATTGATAAATAGTAGATTTTTAGCGATGGGCCCAATATTAGATCCATAGGCCAACATTAGAGCCATTTCCCCTATTTCCCGGTTTTGTAGGCTTTGTTTTGATATTTTGTGTGGATTTTTTCTTACGTTGGAACGTTGGAAATCCTTCGTCGATGTCAATCAAATCTCCAAAAGAGTAATTTTTATTATTGGCGACAGCTTGGATGATCTTTCGGTCAATCTTTCGGTTTTCAGGTCTCGTTATTCGGCCAGATTTCCGTGTGCGTATCTACCTCGTCATGCTTCCGGATGCTTTTCGATAATTACTTCCTCCGTTTTCGCCAGTTTCCTGAGGAGAAGGTTGAGAATAGTCCACCATTTGTGCTAGATCTGTTTGTGCTTTCCGGGCAAATGTCTTGCATTTTGCTGATTTGGAATTTTGACACACATACTTGTCGAGCAATATGTAAACAACAACACACATCAATCAGCGGGATACAAAAGGCTGAAATACTCTATAATATTTCTGGATCTACGAGACGAAGGTGGATCTACATATATAGTTTTTGATAAGAGAAGAGAAAAATTTGACTAAATTATTATTTAAACAATAATCTTATGACACTAAGATAAAATGTAATATTGCTCCCATTTTTCTCATTGCAGATTGATCATGTTTTTGGCGTCGAAGTAATTCCCCCGGCACGAGAAATTATCAGTCGTGATGGTAACATATGTGTTGCATCAACATTGCTACTATATAATTAGTGTTATGAGTTATTTCACTAGCGAACGTGCAGCAGAGGAAGAAAATGAGTTGGGTATCATCTGATTTTTTTCATCATCGTATTTCCCACCCCCATGATCTAAAAACCAAATTACTGTTTTAAAATTTATGTACTGTTCTGAAATTTAACGTGTATTTTTTTTAAACTCATTTTCCTCGTGTTAAAATTGTCGCACAACATTTCATTTTCGGTGGAATCCAGCATTTGGAACATGAAATATTGCTCACCAGATCTTTTAATCAGTAACATAATGGATAATATGTAAGCAAACCGATCAACATTAACCACTTACTGCTAATACCACTTACACAGAAATACATCTCCCGTATCTCATTTGTTTTAGAATAAAAAAAATAGTTAATTGGAATGTTTATCCTGGGTTGACGCCAGCAGAAACTACCAAACTTGAGTAAAACAATAGGAAGGGGTTTTAGCTAAATTTAGTCTTTATCTCCCGTTACATAACGCTTCGTCATATATGTGCTCCAGTAGCACTCATACACGTTTGTGGTTTTCAGCCGTTGGTCTTCTTCCAACGGTTTCATCTGGTCCCCTCGGTACAGCTATCGTCGGTAGGTTCATCCACCCTTTATCGCCAGTTGGGAGTTAATGCCGTTCCGATGCTGGATATATAGTCAAATATTGCCTTCGGAATTTCCAAATCCTTAGCGCGGAATTGTCTCAAGTGGTTTTTGAAGTTGGACAAGACTGAGATGGCGCTTTTCATCACGCAATGCTCATTATTCTAGCGTCAAGGATTTCTACCGTAGCATGCTGAAAAGTTGGAAAAGGGCACATTTGCTGTTGCCTATTTTCAGGTCGCTTGGATTAAAGCGGAATATCCTGCGTAGGCGAGGTTATGGGATAGTGTCTTCATAACGGGTCGAGCTCCGGTGTAGAGGTCATCATCATCTGGCTTTGTTGCCCCGGTCGATGGTTCAAAGACATCACTGCTGAGAGGTGGCTGTCTTTGTTGCGGCGTAGGGCGGGGTGCCTGTCGGGAGGAATTCCATCTCGCTTTGGCATTGACAAACTTGTCCTCGGATTCTACTGTCCAATTCCACCTACTATTGTCTTCAACATCATCGATCTTTCGTTGGTTGAAATAATGCATTCTTTCTGTATTGCATCGTTGCAATGCACGACGTTAACGGTTTGGTTGGGGAGGACTCCATCACCCTTAAGCTGGGTTTAGACTAGGCAAGTCAAATGATCAACTCAGTTGAATTCAACTGACTTGATCAATTGATTTGCCCTGTCCAAACCCAGCTTTACGGTTATTATCACGGTACGACATAAAGTCAGGTTATTCATATTGAATTCGTATAAAGCTGGGTTTAGACAGGGCAAGTCAGTTGAATTCAACTGACTTGAACGCGAATTGAACGTGTCATTCAACTGACTTGATCGGCTCACTTGAATTGAAAAAAAAAGTTGGACCAGGCTCAACTTTTCAAGCCAATTGAATTCAACTGAGTTGATCAAATGACTTGCCTAGTCTAAACCCAGCCTAAGTTCTACTTTTGATTTTTCAAAATTTCTTCATTCCATCCATCAGGTCATGGTAATTCTATCTGCGAATTCTACCGACTGCGCCATTGTCGTGACCGGACCGCAGCCTCAGCCACGGTTACACGAAATAATGGTGCAGCTCCCATGGCTGCGGCTGGTTGCTGCTGTTCCTTCTGCTTCCGTCTCCTTCAAAATTCGTTACAAGAATGCCGTCAACGAGCATAGTAGTAAAATTGATTATCATTTTACATTGTTCGTAGATTACAATTGATGAGCCTGAAGGGCTCTTCATCTTCGTTTAATTTGCTTTTCTATTTTACGTGTTTACGTTTTTCAACTAGTTTACAGGATACCCCTTTGGGGTGCGTTTTACTTAAATTTAAAAAAATTTTCGATATCCTACCTAACTACTAATAACTTAACCTAATTAGGAGATTTGGTCTCAGACAGGCGTCTCTGAACCTTTCGAGGCTGAGCATACTCCGCTCCTCTAGTGTCTGAACATCAGCCAGGCGGTGGATCTCACAGTATCGAGTCCGCGGGGGACTGTTGAGGATCATCCTAAGGATCTTGTTCTGGATCCTTTGAAGTTTAAGGTGATGGCACTTAGCACAGCTCTCAGGGTGAGACCAAGGTAGACGACTTCACTCAACCATTCAATGGGAGTATTATCATGGTGGACTTTCAAGTTACCATGCGGCACAAGCCGAGGTGAATTGGAGTGCGTAAATAGTATGGTCTGTGTTTTAGCTGCATCTTCCAGTTTTTGAAATAATCGGACAGAACATCCAGGCCTGATTGGAGTTTTCTCGTCAGAACACGGATCACTTGACCCTTATGATGGCATGATGATGGCAGTGTCATTCGCAAACATTGACAAAATTCCACCAGCCGGAAGGGGAGGAACAACTGACGTGAACATGTTGAAGAGGATAGGACCAAAGAGGCTACCCTGGGGAACCCCAGCATCAACGTTGAACTTATCAGAATGAGAATTGTTCAAGAAGAATAATCTGGAATAATCTGCCCGACAATTAGTTTTCGATGATCATAACAAGGAAGATCGGGAAATTGTATCGATGCAGCTTGTACACTACCCGAGCAAAGCTGAAGATCCCATAATACCATACATTGTCGAACGCCTTCTCAACGTCCAGCAATGTAATGGCAGATGTATTGGAAACGGACTTGTTCCGCTTGATGATGTTAGTAACCCGTGCGAGCTGGTGGATGGTAGAGTGGCCTTTCCTAGAACCCGAATTGCTCTTTGAGAAAGATGTTATTATCATTTGAAAACACCAGCAGACAGCTTCGAAACGGAGGATGGGTCGATAGCTTTTTGCACCGGTAGGGTTGTGGATTGGAATGATTTTGGCTAACTTTCAACATGCAGGGAAGCAGCCAAGCACCAAACATTTATTAAAGACCGCTGCATGGTGCTCGCAGAAGTCAACACTCAAGTTTTTCAACTCGAGGCTGACCACTTCATCGACACCAGCGGCCTTCGTGTTCTGGGTTGATATAATGGCTGCTATCACCTCATCAGCCGATATTCTATTTTCGTCAGGGACAACTACGGGGGTGGCAGTGACTCTAGACATTGCCTCCGATACTGATACTGCAGGCTGTTAGGAACTCACCATGGCTTGGCCAAGGTTATGTGAATTCTCAAAGTGTTGACCAAGAGCATTGGCCTTTTCAACTGGGGTTATGAGTAAGGATGGATCCGAATTCTGATTAAGAGGGGCCTCGGCTTATTTTTAAAAATCTTTGCCATTTTCCAGAGCGGGAGAGAGCGAATCTTGTTTGCAAAATCGTTATTTCTGAAATGATTTTGTTGAAACGGTTGCAATTGGTCTTCAGGTTAGGCAGGCCAGTACGCTGGTACGGAGTCTACTGAGGTCTTTAGTGGGCCTGTCAAGGTTCAAAATAATACTCTGTCTGGATACTGGCACATGTTGCTCTCATGGCAGGGAAATCGCTTCATCGATGGAGTGCAGACACCGTTCGATGTCGTCGGTCGTTTCTAGCATAGTCGATACTGGTGTCAACGCAGCGTTGGAACTGCGCCCAGTCAGCGTGGTGATAGTTGCGTCGGGAAACTTCGAATCGGTTCACTAAGGAATCCACTTTGGCCACCAACGCCTAGTGGTCCGAGCTGAGTTCTTGGTAGGCCACAGGTTGTGGCTCATGTTGCTGATGTCAATGGTTACATGAACTTCGGACCTACTCAACCGAGTGGGAGTGTCCGGACTCAAGATGTTGTCCCTGAAGTTGACTTGTTTGGGGCTGTTAGCCGCAACGACAGGAGTAGAAACTAGTAGCAACAGCCGACAGTAGATGTTCCTCCGTAGGGCGATGGCCACTCCTCCTCCCCCGGAACTGGTTCGATCCAGCCTCACAAGTCGGGAAGGAAGACGTTAATCTCGGGCTTGAAGTGCGTTTCGGTGATAATGGCGATATCGATGTTTCGTTCGTTGAGGAATTCAATGAACTGGATGCTCTTGCTCTTGCAATTTTGATGGCTACGCGTTCCATACTTATTGATGAGGGATACGGCAGCATGAAGCTGTTCTGTTTGGGTCCTACAGGTGCGCTGGATCTTGATGACTTCTGTCACGAGTGTAACAAGTTTAGCCGTTGTAAGCAGAGTGTCTGCGTTCTCAATCGTTGGTGAAGGGAGAGCACCTTCATGCTGCCACGATAGCCCCGGAGGTGGAGCTGTTGCCGCATATGACTGTTGAGTTGAGTTTACCGGAGTGTTATGCATCCCAGCTGTTGGCGGGACCAATGCAGCACCAGCAAAACGGTTGTTGAGTGGAAGTGGCGGAATTTGACGCCCTTGCAGGATGGCAGAAATGTTCTGCCCGTTATTTTCTGGCACTCTTCTGCGGCCAGGTTGATTCTTCGTAGAGCCTTTATTGCGGATAGCAATGAATTCCGCTCGCTTCAGGCATGTCTTGCTGGTTGCCCGATGTGCTGTACCACAATTGGCACTTTTGTGGTCTGCTTCCTCCAATAATTCGCAGGCATCAGATGCGTGTTGATTGCCACAATTGTAGCAGCGGAAAGCCATGTGGTAGTTCGCGCATTGGGTGACATCAAGGTAGACTGGCTAGCACAGGTCCCAAATTACCACGATGTGGAAGAGGGCCCGAATGCTCTGGAGGTCCTTCAAGCATGTTGAATTCCTTTCCATGCGGACCAGCGGACAGCTGGTCACGGTACTTAAGTGAAGCGTCATGACGATTCATCTTGAAGATTTGGATCGGCTTGAGTCAAATGGGAATCACATCACCGTAAGTGATAAGTTGTCACTTCGCCGTGAAGTGGCATCGGTAATAAGGGTCCATGTTGCTTCAATTCATCGACAGTGTGATTGTTCCATGTCGAGAAGGCCGCGGCTTGGTCGCCTCAATATCGTGGGAGAAATAGTCCACGTTTTTTCTGTTCACTACAGCAGCAACGCCTCGACGGCCATGTAGTAGGTCATCGCTGGAACCATCAGCCTTCAGTACACATCGTACACTTGAGACTTTTCACAATGTAAAAGTCGATATTTTCCCGCAAGCCTTC